AAAATGGACGTGCGACAAATGCAAATTTGCGTTTCTTATGAACATGGGAAACAAGGTTAAGTTCATGTTTGCTTCCTCCTTGTCGATAATCGGCAGAATCCAGTCTGAAATTTTCATCACCGGCTACGAGTTTTTCGCCTCCCTTCACTATTCACCTCGACCTGATGTGTAACGAGCCCAATAACGTGTTCAATGGAAACTAGTTTTTTTTTTTTTTTTTTTTTTTTTTTTTTTTTTTTTTTTTTTTTTTTTTTTTTTTTTTTTTTTTTATTTTCTTTCAATTTCTCCATTGTTTTATCTCAAGAAAGTGTAGAATGTCAGGCTTTGTCGCTGACTTAAATATAACAAATGCACACAGGTTGTACAGAAACAGTATGCAATGATATCGAGTGAACAAACAATCAAAAGACGCGCATCAGAATAAGTTCACCAGAGGTGATGCTGTATATTAATCACGACACCACCAACATTCGAACTCGAACGCAATCACGTACCCTTTGAGTTTGTCGCAAACGATAAATGCAAAAATGAAACAAAGAAAAGATCGTCGGGTCTGCCCGAAACACCCGTACAATGCATGTACACGCGGCACCTCTGTTTTCCGTACAAAACACAAGCAGAAAAAAGGGGGGTGAAAAAAGAAAACGCTCGCAGATGCTCCCCTTGGTCCTTTTCATCCGGACTGGGCACGAAAAATCGTAGCTTTCTCGGTTCATTTGACCTGCACGCGCACACATGCAGCGACGTCCAACAATCGCGAATAATGAGAGCCCATGTATTACACATACGCGCGTATGCACAACATGACGTGCCGTCTCTTCCGTCATATTGGTACACGTGAACACACACACGTACATATGTAACGGAGGACCTTTCACGGTGCACTGTGTCTCGGGCCAAACATCGGCTGGTGAACTACCCTTGCTTTTGTCGCTGTGGACAGGGTCATTGTTTCCCGTGGAGTGTGCACTGCTGCTCAAGGAGCGTCGCCCCCTCTCCTTCCCCGTACATATACATTGCGTGCTTATTTTCTTTTCGTCTGTGTCTTTCGATTGAAATTATTTTCAAGAGAGGCGCTGATTATTTAACATACCCTCTCAGGCGTGGCTTTTAATGGCTACGTGGTTGGATGGATGTCGACAACTTCGAAGTTGGTGGTAACAGATCCCATTGGGTGTTGAACAAAAACTCACGAAAACGAAGAAAAACAAGCCTCTGACAGTTGCACCTATCGTCCATGGAGCACTGACCGGGGGAAGAAAGGCTTTTAATGAATAATCCAAGTCGAAGAAAGGTAAAGCGACCCGTTGCTGACTGACAAAGGAAAACGCCGGCTTGGGAAAATAGACCAGTTCCGAGGGAGAGGGAAGGGGACAAGTTGGAAAACTAGGGCTAGACACTCGGGGTGCGTGGAAATGCATGAAAAGGGTGGTAGTAGTGGAGGATTTGGCGCTCCTCTCTTTTTCTGTGTTTGTGTGAACGTATATATAGTGTCTCGGGCAACAGGTCTCTCGTCTCTATATATACGCTGCTATAGCACGAGCTCCGTTTTCCGAGCCACATGGAAAATCTCTTTCATACCTTACAACAGCTGGTTCCTGTGCACTTATCAACGATTTGGTATCCGTTTTTTTTTTTTTTTTTTTTTTTTTTTTTTTTTTTTTTTTAAGGGGTGGAAGGACCAAATAACTTTTTGTGGTTTGTATTGAGTGATATTTTGAGGTCTGTTTGCGTACAAGCTCAAACTGTGGCTTTAGGTAAATGCCATCCTCTCCCGTAACCCCAATTTCATTCTCCCCATCTAATCCCGTCCTGCGTAAAAATTTTTACGTTTGGCCAAAATTTCGCCAAAGTTCATGTGGTCAACGTTTGGCCAAACTTCGGCCAAGCTTGGGCAATGAGAAAATCCCAAACTTGGATTTTCGTTGGAATATTTGACTCAATATTTTTTGTAAGTCGTATATGCAGACCAACTAATATACTAGAGCAACAAATTAATTTTTTAGACGTTTGGATGAACATTTGTTAAACTTGAGTCAAACATTCCACCAAAAATCCAAGTTTGGGATTTTCTTATTGCCCAAGCTTGGACAAACGTTGACCACATGAACTTTTGAGCAAGTTTGGCCAAACGTAAAAATTTTTACGCGGGGTTTCAACCTGACTCCACGCTTCCCCGCCTCTATCAACTGGTGGCACACTTACCCGGGGCACATAACCAGCCGCGAGGCTTTCGCAGATTTACTTGGCCAACTGACCTTTTTTTTTTTTTTTTTTTTTTTCAGTTAACCATCGCTAGTTAAAAATCTGTAGTTCTGCTTTATTGGGCCAAATGACCACAAGATAGTGGAATCTTGAAAATATTTGGTAAATTAACACTTGAAAACAAAGTGAAGCACAAGTTTTTCTGATTAAATGTAGTCATAGTTTGAGACTCGACTGTTATGAAAACATGAGTACAAGATATTGGCTATTAAAATGAATACATTTTGAAATAAGATTCAGTACGACAGATTTAGGTTGTTTTCTGATGGTGATTTCTTTCGTGATTTCTTTCGGGTTCGAAGACTTTAGTTTCTCAGCATATGAGTGCTGCAGTATCGATAAAGAGATTCTACAAATGTAGAGTTCGACTGTACTTCAAATAAGCCTACATTTCACTTTTAATTTTAATTTTTTTTTTATTAGATTTTATTGATCTGCCACAATTTTCAAGAAATTTTTTATCAATCATGTGACCTCATTTTGTGTATACACTCCGTAAATACAAGATCGAAGTACGTTCTTTTTTTTTCGCTCGTACCATCACTGTTATAATTATTAACATCGTATACCGGTACTCTAGCCCGACCGACCGAGAACTTTTTTTGACGATGAGAGTAAAAATTACCCGGCGCATTACGCTCCGTAACTTTTTCATCACATCCACCCACACGCGCATGCACATGTATCCTGTTACGTGAAATTTTTTGCCGCTCCCCTGCAGCCATATTTGAAAAATAAAAGTTCGGCCCAACAATTTTCCTTGCTGCTAACGTCCACCCACGCCTCTGCCCCGTGATATTTCATTATTAAATCATTTCGAGGTAATTTTATTTCTCATTGCGAGCCCCCGCGACGGAACTTTCAGAAAAATCGCCCGATAAGTTGCCGGAAAATTTTTCGCTCGGGCGGAAAAACTTTCTAACCGTTTCGTTGTCACGGAGAGCCTGAATATGCCAGGCAAAAAGGACACAACAATGTTTTTCAATTAACTTTTCCGTGGGATTCCTATCACACTCGACTCAGCCCTGTCCTTAGCGATCCACAAGTTGTATTTTTTCGCTTGCCGAGAGGGATGGGGTCATTAAAAAGGATAAAGTTTGAAAAATCCCTCGAAAAAAATGAGACGCCGGCAAACATCCCCCACTCGTACTCTTTGTACCTCCGTCCAAAAAGCTCATGCGAGAATCAGCAGACGCGCTGCAGACGAAGGGGGGGGGCTATTTCTTTTTCATTCTAACGTTAAAAGGGAGATGGCCCCGGATTTTTAAAGGTAGTGCTCTCCTCTTCCTCGACCATAAAAGCTGGGCCTAGAGCTCGTACGTGATGCTGCTCGCATGGTCTCTGCGTTTTACTTTTCACCCACACCCCCCGTGTCTGAGTAAAAGAGCTTTTGATGTGTACTGTTGCACGCGTGTAGTAGCAAGGGGTTGATCATCCAAACCGTGGTTTGCTACACTTTGACTATACGTTTCTCGTTCTTCGACGAAAATCAATCATCATTCGGATTTACGTGTATAAAGGTGCCCTTACTTTTACTATTTATTTATTTTTTTTTTTTTCATTCTGATATACTCTCGTGAAAAAGGGGGGGCTGGAAGCATTAATATTAAAAGTACGTATATCTATAAAAAAAGTATAGGTAGTAGAGTTCGTCGAAACTTGTGACAACCATACATTTCTCACAAAATTTCATTCGTTTGCCGTTACAGTGAAAGTACCCTGACATGTCCCATGGAAAGAAATATCTTTGAAGCATGTATACATACACGTATACTGTACACGTACATCAGAACCCATGGGTTTACGGGTAGAACTCGGGTCCAATCGAAAACAGCTCTCCCAAAGCATCAAAATGAAGATTGAACAAAAAAAAAACAAAAAAACAAAAAAAAAAACACGAGAGAGAGACGCGAAGGAAAGAAAACAGACCAACGAAATGATATTATACATCTATACACACGTGTACGTAGCCATCGGTAAAGTAAGTATAGAGGAGCGGCGAAGCTCAGCTGCAGCAGCGTCGGAGAAAAATCAATAAAACATCGCGGCGCCTGGAGCCAGTCTACCATCGTACTATACGTACCAAGTAATGCTCGAGGGAGGAAGAGGAGGCGGAGGTGGGCAAAAGCGAGGCGACTCGACGTCGCGGACGAAAAGAACCTAATGCAATGAATCGAATGACCCAGATTTCCTCCGCCACCGCTGCACTACTACCACCACCGCGTGCAATACCCACGTCCGTGTGTGTCCGCGCCCGAGGTTAAGAATCGGCTACTTCTCCGCCCTCTCCTCCCTCCTCCTTCCTCTTTTTTCACTCAGCTCGATTCGCTGCTAACGAGATTTTTATTTGCGCGCCTCTAGAATTTCAACTCGACGTCCATGGCTTGTGTGTAGGGGTTCCTCGAGGGGATGCCTGACGGTGAACCTTTTTTCGTTGTTCGCGGAGTATTGCTTATTTGAAGAGACTTTTTCTTTTCGCACGTTGCCAGAAAACAACTTATATATTTGAGACTCTTGGATGATCGGACGGTGATATAAATTGTCACGCGCCCGAGGGGGTAGCTGAAGTTTTGCGTGATTTTTACAAAAATTGGAATAAAAACGAGTTTGTGATGTGACCCTTTCCCAGCTGGGTGTTGATATATTTTGGTTTCTATAGCTCGATGGTGGAACAGATAAGTTTACCGAGAGGTTTTATTCAGAAAAAAAAAAAAAAAAACGAAATTCGAACTCACCGACTACGAAGACCATGTTCTTTGTCCATCGCAGCAGCTCACGGCGTATGTGTTTCCGTTCCTGTATGCAGCGGGCATAGGGACAATCCGCCATTTTTAAAATCACATCTTAAGGATTGGGCTGTCCCCCGGCCGGTGTGATTGTGTCGAGGGCTCACCCGTGCACCACCGATGTCCACGGGGGTAGATATTCACGCCAGTCGCGTACTCTCCGTCCTTACCTGTCATTGGGCATTAAAGTTCGGCATGTCGTCAATTACGCCATTACTATCGTAGGATATAGGGATTTTTCCAAAATAGTATCATTTGAGAAATTAACCACATTGTTTTTATTTTAATCTATTGCGTACGAGTACCGAAAAAAACTTTTTAAAAAATTGATGTGTGGAATTATTTAAAGTTTATTGTTTATGTTATTCATAATTATTGTTGTAACATAGTTGTTTGTCACTAAAAAAAAAAAAAAAAAAAAAAAAAAAAAAAAAAAAAAAAAAAAAAAAAAACAGTAAAGTGAAGTGGGAAGGGTAGTTCTTGAACTCATTAGTCAATTAGCCAGAGGTTCTTTTTTTCACTTTTGTCATTTACAAATACACAAAAATTCTTGAAAGTTCTTATCAGTTAACAAAAAAATAATTCTAGCGTCACTATATCATGGTAAACACTGTAAAAATCATAATTACTAATGAATTGTAACTCTGACCATTCTTTGTTTAATATCTATGTACATAGTCCTTTGTCAACTTTATTAGAAATATTATTTCGTTGATTAAAAAAAAAAAAAAAAAAAAAAATAATATAAATGTGTGATGTACTATCAATTGTCCTTATACGATAAATGTTTGATTTTTACTACAAATATCTTGAGAAGGAGATGATGTGCACGTTTACCTAACATACGTCAATTTTAAGTCCCAAAGCCTCAAGATGACTTATTTTTCAAATTTATCAGTGAAGCTTGTTCAAACTTTGAGGAAAAATCATTGGCTACCTTTACCATGACATGAATCAATTGATCCCAATGTCATACTTTGACTTTCATTTATATTTAGCACAGAAATTATTTTTGCGAGGTCTTGAGTAAAAAATTGACTACTTCACATAATGCACTTTTAATCACGAAAAGATTAGTAAACAACAAAAACATGGAAACATCATTTAAAATAAATCTTAACTTTTGCAATAACTCCCATCACTCCATCTAATCATTGTCACGTCCGCCCAAACTCGACTGTTTCTACTTTATCACAATTTCTAAAAATTACTAACCTCCACTTTCCCCACGAGCTGTTTCGACCTGGAGTATCTTTCTACGGGAAGTGGCCTCTTCAAATACCACGGCGACCCTTCGATTCCACAGGCCACGGACGAGCCGTCGTTGCTCGCGGGGATGACGAAGGGTATCTTCTGACGCGCGGCACTTTCAGGAGCGCAGTCCAAGCGTATCTGAAAAATAAAAAAAAACATAATACGTTAAATGTGCGCGTTAGCTTGATGAAAAACTTTTTTTTTTTTCCTTGCACTTTAGCGATACCTCAACATTAATAATGCCTAATGTGTTTACGCCGTGGTTAATGTTTTTCTTACGACACGTTTAGCCCAAGTGTCATCGAGAACGTGGTATATTTAAATTAAATTAAAAAAAAAAGAGGTAGGGAAAAATTTAATTTTCCACACTAATGAGCGTGTTTTGTTATTTAATTCACTTAAAGAGCCGTATGTGTGTGTGTGTGTATATGTTGTAAGCGCAAGTACGATGATCGCGGGGAGCTGATAATTTTTTAATTACCCACGCGAACTTAGCGCCTCCCGGACTCTGGAGGAGTAAATCATACCTGGGCACGCTATTATCGGAAATTAAAGGGGTTAGAAAAGTAATTTCACTAATTGCATCGAGATTAGTGCCGTATCGTAATTATGAAAAAGAAAAAGAAAACCATTAAAACTAGTCCCACTTTTTATAGGATGTGAGTAACATTTTTACGTGCCAACTGCACGAGAATGTGACGATAATGACTATAAAAACAAATAGGAATGTTCAGTAGAACTCATCATCCAAGAACTTTGTTAAATTCGATTTTCCACGCTCTGCTGTACCAGAAAAAAAACCCATCGTACAAAAACCAAAATAGTAAAACTAGTCAAATGTGTCCCATCATCGCTTTCATAACCATGACGTACTATTAAAAAATTTCGATTTTTGCCGAGTACATTAGGCATTGGTACCATATCCGACAGCGGCATTCCTGCGTCGACTGCACGTATACCTATACACAGCTTGAAGGCTGACTCGTTTCACTCTTTGGTGGAGCGGAAAGGAGGATGAGAAGGCAGGGGGGGGGAGTGAGTCGGCGTGTGCTGCTGCAACAAGTTGACCGCGAATACGAGAGAAAGAGGGGTTGGGAGGAGGAAAAGCTCGGCTTGCATGGATTTTCGAGGCATGACGAATCGCATTAAGCTTTACTATACGTCGGTTCGTGTGTGCTTCCCCCCCCCCTCACCCCAAAAAAGGGGGAACGAAAACATGTGCACCCTCTCTGCTCTATATATTTTAAATTCAGTGCGGGAGGGCAAGCGCGAAGGCTTTATTAATTTAATTCGAGTGAGGGAAACTAATTTGCCGAGTGATTATGTGTCGGGGTCGGTTGGCTGGCTTTTATTGTTCACGAGGTAAAAAACTGATGCTCCTGTTGATTTACGTAAGGTGTTTTGATTTGGGAGAGAGAAGCAAATTTATAGAATGTTGGATAAATATTACACTGCTTTTTGTTGTGATATGATTATGTTGATTTTTTTGTTGCAAAAAGGACTGTTTATTGCTATTTAGTAGTAAAATCTATGCATTCATCTTGTATTATTTATAAATTTATAAAAATAAATAAATAAACAATAATAGTTTGCGTCACAGAAGCCGGCAGGGCTGTTTTGCGGTCCGTAGGGTGACCCTGGGTGGATGGCGTTCATATGCCAAACATTAAACGTCCAAAAGTAAAAAACTGCTGAAAGTAGGAAAAAAATCTTTTTAGACTCTTTATCATGTATTGCTTGGACAGTAAATTTTTTTTGTAATTTACAAGCTGAGAAAAAATACCAATAAAATGATACTTGCAATATTTCAAAAAAAATTTTTGTTATGGTACACAATTAACCCCAAGTACGTTTTAATTGAGATTTGGTGTGTTAAATTTTTATCATCTAATTGTAGCCATTGAAAGTATACAGGTGAATAGACATGATGCAATCTCAACCCTGCAAGGGAGACGCTACTCTTTATAAATTTCATCAATCCAACTTATCTCCATTCTAACAAGTGTCCAGTTTTTTTTATCTTATACAGCTTCCAGAGCTTCGTCGAAATGTAAATATCGTACTTGCCATAAGCATCTCATCGCGCAACAGATTCGTCCTCGTAACCTCCGTCATTAAACTCAAGAAAAAAAGTCTAAAATAGCTATAAAAAAAATTTTACGAAAAAAATCTCAGTTCTTCAAATTGACCATCCACACAACCTTCCGCCCTTTCACCCCTATAGGTCTGTAGTTGACACATACACCCTCGCACAGAAAAAAACAGTAAAAGATTTTCATGCCGTCAAGTCATAACAAGCGATAGCGTAAGCGAGGGAGGTGTAACACCCGAACCCTGACACTTTTACCCACACTCAGATGAAATGAGTTAATGCACGAAATGAAACACTGTCTGTGCGTGTATATATTATATATACAAGCCGACGAAGTAGCCGGGAAGAGGAGATGCGTCTCCGTTTCCGTCTAGCACCACACAGGGTGGGGGAGGGGAAAAAGTAGAGGAGAGCCAGCTTTACTTCGTCGCCGTCGTTGTCATCGTCGCGGAGAGGAGAAATAGCAGTAGGGATGGGCTGCTCACGTCTTACGCACGTGCACACAAGCCCACATCTGTGTGAACTGGCCTCATCTTTCGATTGTATATACCTATTTGCTTCGCGAAGCGATTTAAAATAGCGCCATCTGCAGGGGTAATACGTAGCCTTTGACTGCAATCTTTTATTTGTTTTTTTATTATTTTTTTCCACCAATGATGTATGTTTGACCAACGAGATCACTATTTTAATCCTCGGTATTGCTTTTAATTAAAAAGAAAAACTTTTATTGCGAACTCGTAATGAAAAGAAAGATTTTCCCATATTTTGTGAGTTGGTGTGGCAAATTTTTTCCCCATCGGTGGTGCTTATTCAGATTACCACACGAAGCGAATACGCAATATGGATACGGGAAGGAGGCGACGCGGCAACGCCGAACGGGAGAGCCACCGCGAGAGGGACGAAGAAATCAAGAGAAAGACAGAGAGCGGCGCCTAATATGCAACAGGAGAAAAAGAATCGGCGATCAATAGGTAGTAGCTGGTAAGCGTCCTTTCATCCGTCCTCTTTCTCTCTCTCTTTTCCTCTCGGCGCACCCGCTCTCCTTCCCTCCGGCTCCTCCTCCCGTCCTTTCCACCTGCTGCTCTCGGAGCCTCCTTCCTGCCGGCCAACGTCGACCCCCCCTCCCCCTCCCCAGGAGCATCGTCCCTTCACCCACCTGCGCCCACCCCCGCGCTTTTTCGCGACCCCGTCCAACCACCACCACTACCACCTCTCATCCGAGTCTCTTTTTACGAGCGAGCTTTTTCGGAGCTTGCGAGGGTGTGCAGGGTTCATTCGCCCCGTCATCTTGATGATGCCTTTTTTTTAGATACGCTGATTTTTTTTTGTACTTCCAAATATTTTCAGTGCAATCGATACTTCAGTCGGTGTTAAACCTTACCAACTTGTTTTTGTACGACCAGTAAAATTTTCAGATGGGGTAATGGTGATTAAAATCAGACAAGAGAGACGGAGTGTAAAAGTGGCGTAGCAGATTTCTGTAATTGAATATTTCGTTGAGTTCGCGGCAGCAGCGTGGTGTAGCGCTTACATTTACATGTATATGTGTATGTATATAGCTGCGTAGAATTCGCCCTGCTAATATAGCAATCTGCTTGAGAAGCGAAGTGGCCACCTATAATTTACTAATTAATTTTGTGTCAGTGAAATAATGTAATTGATGTACTTCTGGATTTCTTAATTAGTCAAGGAGGGTGTTGTAGCACCCGGATTTTTAATCAATTCTAGATTAATTTTGAAGTTGATGTATAAATTGCGTATACATTTAATTATAATAAACGAGAAAAAACGAAAAATTAATCGTAGCAAAAAGTAAGTAGGTAGGGTAACTGTGGGTATTACTGGCACTTTTTTGACTTAGGCTACTTAAATGTACAGTATAAAAAAGAAAAATGTATCAATCTAATACATTTTTTTTTTATTATTAACTTTATTTAATAACAAACAATAAATGATTTTTTAAATGGACANATTAACAATAAACATTTTAGCAAATATTCAACATGCTCCTATGACTTGTATTACTAGTGTCATACACGTATTACAAGCTCTCCAATACTGTCTAAATTTGAATTACTGGCCATGTAATACTGGAAAATATAACTTTTTGACCCTTATCACGTGAAATCACAATACAATCTACCTTATCTAATAAAATCTATGATAATTGAAAAACAATAATAAGATTTAGCTATCAATGTATTTTATTTTTGTTTGCAATTTCCTTATTTGGTTCTTTAAATCTGCACTAAAATTTCTTCTTGGGACTTATTTTTTTGTTCAGTTTCATTAATTTTTTGTTGGTGTGCAACAAGTTTGGCCTTTTCTTTTTCGATTCTAGTTTGTTGTTTTATAAAATTTTTTTCTTGCTTGATTAATTTGTCGTTTTCTCTTTTTATTTGTAACATTTTTGTTTTCTCTGATCTCATTTTTTTTCTGCTGCAGTTTCCAATTTAACAACTTTATTTTTCTTTTCTTTACTGATTTTTTGCCACAGAGGACCTGATATAACTGATGGAGTTTTAGTAATTCTCTTCTTTTTGTTTACTGATTAAAAAAAAATCTTCAGAAGGCCAAGACAAATACTGAGCAAGAGGCTTTAGTGGTTGATGACTTTGTTAGGTTAGATTGCTGTACCTTACCGAATCACTGCCAGTAATTCAACAGTAAGCGAAAAATATTGTACCAAATACTGGCATCAATATTTAAGAAAGAAAAAACATTCAAAATTAATTTTCATTGCATTTATCGAAAAATTAAGGTTTTTTTTAATTCAATAAATTGTTTCTTGTGTGATTTTTCCATGTTTATTAATAAAAATACTATTGAAAGCACGTCGCTTTTTGCTGTAAAATTCAATTTTTTGGGAGAGAATCACACACCTGTCTATGTTATCATTGATAAAATAATTCAAATTCATGTTTTGTACTAAAATATGCGATTGAATAATATTTGTGCAGTTATCTATTTTACGAAAAAAACACAACTCCTACGAAAATTTATAAATAATAAGTCATTGTT